CGTCTGGATTTTTTCCATGTACGACAGCCTGTGGGACAAATGCAGATAGACCCAGCTATCTCACCTCCCAGCAGAACCAGTGCATGCACAGCTGGCCACCACCTGGGAGACAGGGCCAGTCACCCCTCATCTCCAGCCTCTGTGAGCAGATCCGCCTTAGCCACCCAGATGTCAAAAACTTGAACACTTTGGGGTTTTTTGGCCTCTTTTGTGAGCAAACAAGCAGAAGCACGCGACCAATCTCCTGGCAATATGCTGAAATGGAAAGGCTTTAGAGGAGCACGTGGGTTTCTCCCCAGAGGTTTCTCCTTGGGATTTTCATCTGTGTTGACATGCCAGGCTGGGAAAGCACCTGAGGAGATGGCACAGCCTCTCCGAGTCAGTAACTCATCAGCTCAGAAGGATTCGCCTGATATTTCTGACTTGTTGCCATCTATCATGTCAAAAAACCCGCTGCTGGAGGAGAGCCTGGGATCATATCAGCACAAGGGACCATGACAGGCAAGCAGGGTAAACAAAGCCAGTCCACGCTTAACCGAAGCCGTGACGGCCCCTCGAGTCAATATTACCCACACTCAAGAGACCCTGCGGAATGCAGACCCCTGCATCGGCTCGGGGCAGATTTTAGGGACATCTCTGTGCTCAAAGTGGGGTTCAGGCTGCTCCCCCTCCAACCCTGACCCCATGGTCAGTACTGGTTTGAAAGCAAGGTGAGCTGTGCCGGAGCAGAGAGGGTTTCATGGTTATCCCAAGGGACTACCCAACATGCTTGCCCTCACTGCACCGGAGGTCCAAGAGAGCAAAGGGCATGAAGTAATGGTTGATAGATTGAAATATGCTAACCAGGATGTACAGAGCAGCTTCCCCCACCCCTCGGTGGTGGTCTGCTCTCAGGAGTGGCTCACAGTGAGTGAACTGTAAAATCCAGAGGGACTGGTCCAAAGGACATTTCTTAAACATGCAATGGAAAAGTCAAGAGACCCTGATGTGAGCTGCACCAGTGCTCCTGGGCAGAATAAATCTGTCAACACTTAGCGATGGCACAGCAGTCACTTTTGGACCTGTCATGGGAACTGAATTCAATATATCATCTGCAGAAACTCATAGAATCATAGAATGGTCTGGGTTGGAAGGGACCTTAAAGCTCATCCAGTTCCAACCCCGCTGCCATCAGCAGGGACACCTTCCACTAGACCAGGTTGCTCAAAGCCTCATCTAACCTGGCCTTGAACACTTCCAGGGAGGAGCATCCACAGCTTCTCTGGGCAACCTGGTTCAGTGTCTCACCACCCTCACAGAATATTTAGGCCAGTTTGACTTTAAGAGCAATTAGTAAGCTAGGTACTTCAATAGGAGAACATCATAAGAAATCAGGCACCAGCTGGCCAAAGGTATTCACCGATTTGGGTCCTTGGAAAGAAAGCTTGGTGCAAAAGGTGCCCAGTGAAAGCAACTGAGGTTAATGGAATTAATATACAAATAAAAAGTTACCACTTCTGAGAAGGCATCTTCCTCAGCATTGTATTTGGAGCTGGAAAGCCCAGCTCGGAGGGTTCTGCACCTTGCATGGCCCTGTTATAATTGCTGGGGTGACAGAATAGCAATTTTCTCCCCATTTCTTTCACCAGTTGCAGAATCTCCATACCTGCCCAGAGCAGGGACAACGTTGCCATCTCCTGGTGGTACCTTGTCCTCAAGAGCTGGGTGAAACGAGTGGCCCAGGCAGGATGGGCAGGGACAGGAGGACCCTCACCTCTCCTTGCAAACCCTTCTGGCTTTGCTTGCTCTGACAGAGCCAGAGCGATGTGACAGAAGCAGATGAGCAGTGTGGTGGAAGTGGTCCCAAAGCAAGGGATGGGGCAAGGCAAGGAGACATGGGCTGGAGGACAGGGATTTGCAGATTGCAGCTCTGTGCTCCATTCTCCACTCCCAAATTGGGCACTCTGGTCCTGGTCCTTGTTGGAAGGGGCATTGCTTTCGACCAGGCTGGTAGATATCCCTCAGGGAAGGAAAAGAACTGCTTGAGATGGTGGCTTAGCCCACAGAGACACAGTTATAGCCTTCCTCTCCTGCCTTGTATTCAGGCATGAGAGTCCAAAACAAACCATAAATCAATCTCTGCAGTTTACCTCCACTGCAGACTCCAGCAGCAGCATCCTCCCCTGCCAGCACTGGCATGCCTGCAGCATCCCACCCAGAAACAGGTCAGAGGGATCTCCACGCTGCTGCCGCTGCTCAGCCTGGACCTGAACCCCTGCAGATGCTAAACCCAGCAGGAACTGGTGAGTGATGAACACGAGAGGAGAGAGCAGGTTATTTTGGTTTTTTTTAATTAGACTAGGAAATATAATTTATTGCATAAAAATTAATTTGTTACAATAGGAATGCTAAACTTTATTTACAGTTCTTTAGTTTACAGAATAAACAGATGTAGTTTTTTAGAGGATGCCACCAGGCCCATCCCCTGGACATATAAATATGGAAACAGATTACGGAGCGAGAGATGGACGCTGCCAGCATGACACAGACCGCAGGTTCACCTTTGCTGAATCGCCTGGCCAGAGGAACCCCCGGTTGCAGAGGGAGGCACATTGGGCACCCATGGGAGATAGGTGCAGGCACCCAGAGGGCTGGGCTGCAGGGCAAACTCTGGCAGGTTCCCTGGTCTGACAAATGGGGAGAACCTCCCCAAACACAGCCCTCAGCAGATCCAGGCAGCTGCTGCCCACTGAAAGGAAGGGGAAGAACACAGAGGGATGGGGATGGAGGCAGAGGTGCCCATGGGTGGGATGGACAGATGGACAGACAGGCACGCGTGCTGGCGCAGTGATCTGTGAACCAGACACAGCCAGAATGACAGCGAGAGAGATTCAGACGTGACCCCAAAGAAGAGCATCTCATCTCACAGAGAGCACCACGGCGCTGAGAAAGGAGCCCTGTAAAACACCAGCAGCCAGTCCGATACATCAATTCTTCATTCCTTTCCAAATTTTCTTATTCCCCCCTCACCAGCTCAGAGATGGGGTCTCAGAAATTGGACACTCAAATGCAACCTAAAGGATAGATAAAACCTTTCCTACCTGACACAGGAGTTCACCCAGCAGAAGTTAGTGATAGAACAAGGTGTAATGGCTTTAAACTGGAAGAGGGTAGGTTTAGATTAGATATTAGGAAGAAATTATTTCCTGTGAGGGTGGTGAGACACTGGCCTGGGTTGCCCAGAGAAGTTGTGGATGCTCCCCCCTGGAAGTGTTCAAGGCCAGGTTGGATGAGGCTTTGAGCAACCTGATCTAGTGGAAGGTGTCCCTGCTGATGGCAGGGGGGTTGGAACTGGATGAGCTTTAAGGTCTCTTCCAACCCACACCATTCTGTAATTCTGTAAGTCTTCCCACCTAACAGCAATGAAACAAGTCCCCTTTCTCCCACAGCCTTGAAAACCCAGTGAGAAATGAACCCTGGAGACCCCGAAACACATCAGGGAGCAGCTCCACATGCTCCATCACTGCGTCAAGAGCTGCCAGGAGGAATCAAACCTGTGCCCAAGCAATACTGAAAGCTCCCCCTGAGCCGTCCGATGAAGGCGATGCTCCTGCTGATGGCAGGGCTCCCTGAGTTTGCTCCAGTCCCCAGGATGCTGCAGGCACCCCATCTCCCCGTTGGAGGCTTCACAGCCAGTTGGACACCAGGCATGGCAGCCTGAAACAGGACCTGCTCTCAGACTCTGCTCTTAATACTTCCACCGATGGAGAATCCACAGCCTTGCTGTGTGAGCCAGTCTAATCCTGAGATTACCATCCCCTTCCTATTTTTTTTTTTTTAATACAGATTTCTAAGACATAGCACTCACTGAGTAACTATTTCTATCTGCAGGCAATCTAAATTTTTACCCTTCATTGAGACACCATATCTTTGTGAGGAACTTGGTCCCTGCCTACCCCTTGATGACTTTCCATTCATCCCAACACCTCTCCATCATTATAAAAACTCTATTCCAGGTCAAAAAAGGAGCTTCAATGAGAGGATGGAAACCCAGTCACTACTTACAATGCCATCCCTCATGTGAAAATGCTCAGCCTGGCTTGCAACTTGGAGATACCGAGGTCTCCTTTCCTGAATCCTCGCTGAAATACTGCATCAAAAACTGGGCATGAGCACATGGATCCGAGATGGAGGCAGTTTGCAAGGGGCTGCATCCTGCCCTGCCAGCCCTCTGCTCTCCCCGGACCCCTCCATAAGCAGCTCGTCAACTCCCTCCAACCGCGGGACTGAATTCTTTGGTTTGTACTGAAGTTATGTAAATGAAGGCGTAGTCATCCTAAAAAGCTCCCCTAAACAATGCCAGGGAAGAATTCATTAAAAATACCCATAACTGGAGGTACTCCCCACCCCAGACCCCTCGCTTAGCTGGGCACTGTTGCCAGGGAAAGGGGAGTTTGGAAGGAAAAAATCTTGGGGAGGGTCTCAGCAGGCCCTGAACCGGAGCAGTGTAGAGGCACTTCACCCTACAGACTCCCCGGGGGTCCCAGGACATGTAAACATGTTTTGCTCGACTTGGATCACACGCT